GAGAGAGAGAGAGAGAGAGAGAGAGAGAGAGAGAGAGAGAGAGAGAGAGAGAGAGAAGGGAAGGGGGCGGAAGCGCATAAGAGGGCATTTGGTTAATGATCGGACGCATCCCCCTGGAGTGAGAGAGGAATGGGAAGGGGAGAATAGTGAGAGAACGGGAAGTGATGGAGGAAGAGATGGCGAGAGGGACAGGGGAGAGAGAGAAGGGGGAAGGGGGGGGAGCGCATGAGAGGACATTGGGCTGTCGTTAGTGACCCGACGCACCCCGTGGAGAGAGAGAGAGAGAGAGAGAGAGAGAGAGAGAGAGAGAGAGAGAGAGAGAGAGAGGAATGGAAAGGGGAGAATAGCAAGAGAATGGGAAAACGAGGGAGGAAGAGATGGCAAGATGGACAGGGCAGAGAGAAATCCCTGTTGGATATTACTGTTCGGGCCATTACCTTCTCTTCGTGGAGGCACGCCCGTCCTCACTCCAAGTCTCGCCCTATATGATTTAAAAAAAAAAGAAAAAGATGACGTGATACTACCATATCCTTTGAGCGATCTTTTTTTTTTTTTTTTTTTTTTTTTGAGAGGTGCGTCGCACTCTCTTCAGCAGTGCAATTCAGACCCAACGCAGGAAGGGCCGAGCAAGCTTTTTTTTTTTTTTTTTTTTTTTTGAGTTTGAGGGTTGCGGTCGCACTCTCTGCAGCAGTGCAATTCAGAAGCAACGCAGGAAGGGTCGAGCAAGCATGCAAGCTTACCCGTTTGACCCCTCCTTGGCCCAGAAAAAAATAATTTACGTAATATCATTGGCCCGATGGACCACGGATCAGATATTAAACTGATCAGACCAGATACATTTCACTTTATCTTACTTAGCCAAAAAAGGCCGAGAAAGGTATGCGGTGATTCTTTAACATCTATCTTTCTTTCTTTCTTTCTTTTTTTTTTTTTTCTTTTTTTTTTTTTTTCGCTTTTGTGTGCTGCTATGCCGTCGTCTCCTCACGTCTGGAGCGCCTCCCTTCACTCTCTTGCTATCATCTTATTTTTTTTTCTTTTTTTTCCTTTTTTATCCTTTTTAGTTTTTGTAAATTTCAATCTTAATTCCACTGCTGGGGATGCTGCCACACCGGTTTGCATCGCTCCGCTTTCGTATTTTGTGCGTGCGCCTGCGTGTTGTTGACGCCAACACCAATGCTCATCAGCTCGGTGATGTTAATCAAGGCACGATGTTCGTCGATTCCGCTCAGAACAGCCTTCTTCCACTCATCAAGGTGATGAATGGATTGTTGATTAAAATTCGGTGAAAAAAAACTGCGGACATAGGTTTCATAGGGTTTACGTAGTGGTAAACGTAAACCAATAGTTTAGACATGGGTAAACTTACTAATAGGGCCTTGCTCCACTACTCGCCAAATGTGCAAAATGAGAATGAATCTCCCGCTAGAACATGGGAAGATACGTCGCCATATCTTTTTGTATTTTGTGCCTGTGGTGAGTAGTGGATCGAGGCCCATAGTTTACAAATGGGCAAACTTAAAAAGTTCACAAAACCTAAAGGTCCTAAACCTATAGTTTACATGTGAGTAAACCTAAACCTATACTTTGTAAACATTCAAATAGGTAATCCTAAACCTATGCTTTACACACATGGCTACAGCTAAACCTACAGCTAAACCTAAACCTATAGTCTACGCTTTTGGAAACGTAAACCATTGTTTTATAGATGGGTACACCTAAGCTATAGTCTATACTATGATTTGCACATGAGTGAACCTGAACCAATGTTGTACACATGGGTAGACCTAAACCTATAGTTTACACTGGAATAAACCTAAACCTATAGTTTACTCGGGATAATCTAAACCTGTAGTTTACACATGGGTAAACTCAAACCTATGGGCAAACGTAAACATAGAGTTTACACATTGGTAAACCTTTAGTTTACACATTGATAAACCTGAACCTAATGATTATGCATTTGTAATGATTTTGATTAATTAATTAATAATTAATTAATTATTAGCTAATTAATTAAATTGTTTAATTAATTAATAATTAATTGATTGATTAATTAATTAATTAATAATTAATTGATTGATTAACTAATTAACGCGAGAATGAGTGCTCCTTTCTATTTGGTGGGGAGTTGCACCTGATAACGCTTGTGTTTTTTGTTGTTTGTTTATTTTTTGTAAGATTGCATGTCTTGTGTATTTGTGAATGATGATCAAGTTTTTTTTAGTAGAGTACATGGCTTGCGAATGATGATGCCTTAATTAATTTTGAAGCGGAAAGCGGGGACTTGGGGAGGAGAGGTGGGTTTTTTGTTTTTACTGTTTTTCCTGTCATGTTTAACGATCTCTTTGTTTTTTTTTTTTGTGGGTGTAAATCCCCTGGAAGGCTTTTTTGTAATGTAACGATGTAGGGGGGGTGGTGGTATCTGATTTGTGCAGGCGAGTTTGCTTGCGGCTTCCGCCGACGTGCCACGTGGCGTTAGCAGACCACAGGAGGAGCACCATCGCCCGCCCGACGTTCGCACAAGCATAGAGAGAGGAGGAGCGCCGTCGTCGACCGCGGTGATTCGGACAAGCGGAGAGAGGAGCGCCGTCGTCCGCCGTCCGCCGAGGCTCGCACAAGCATAGAGAGAGGAGCGTCTCTCCGCCGTCGTGATTACTCGCGAAGCCTGTCATCATGGGAGACAGCCAGTACTCTTTTTCGTTGACGACATTCAGCCCATCAGGGCAGCTTGTGCAGATTGAACACGCGCTGAACGCGGTTGCTGCGGGCGCCACGTCATTGGGAATCAAAGCGTCCAATGGCGTGGTGATTGCCACGGAGAAGAAGCTGCCGTCGATCCTCGTCGACGAGCAATCGGTGCGAAAAATCTCCGTGCTTTCGAAGAACATCGGCGTTGTCTATAGTGGTATGGGACCAGATTCGAGAGTGCTAGTCAGCAAGAGCAGGAAGCAGGCGCAGCAGTATTTCCGCCTCTACGAGGAGCCTATACCGATAGCGCAGTTGGTGAGGGAGATTGCAGCGGTGATGCAGGAGTTCACACAGTCAGGAGGAGTGCGTCCGTTCGGGGTTTCGCTCTTGGTGGCTGGATACGATTCCTCAGGGCCTCAGCTGTACCAGGTGGACCCGTCTGGGTCGTACTTCGCATGGAAGGCTTCGGCAATAGGCAAGAACACGGCAAACGCGAAAACGTTTTTGGAAAAGAGGTACACAGAGGACATGGAGTTGGAGGACGCAGTGCACACCGCGATCCTGACTCTCAAGGAGGGGTTCGAGGGACAAATATCTGGTAGCAACATCGAGATTGGAATTGTGGGGGCAGACCATCAGTTCAGAGTTCTGACACCTGCAGAGGTGGATGATTACCTGGCAGAAGTTGAGTAGGGAACGGAGAGGAGATAGATGCAGAGAGGACGTGGAACTGGAAGATGCTGTCCGCACTGCGCTCCTGACTCTCAACGAAGAGCGTCTAAGTACCCTGCCACGTGCAGAGTTAGGCGCGTACCTGGCAAAAGTCCAGAGGAGAGAGAGAGAGAGAGAGAGAGAGAGAGAGAGAGAGAGAGAGAGAGAGAGAGAGAGAGAGAGAGAGAGAGAGAGANGAGAGAGAGAGAGAGAGAGAGAGAGAGCTGGAAGATGCTGTTGCGATTCGGACTCCGAAAACCTGACACCTGCACACACACACACACACACACACACACACACAGAGAGAGAGAGAGAGAGAGAGAGAGAGAGAGAGAGAGAGAGAGGACACAGAGATGGAAGATGCTGTCTGCGCTGCGATTGTGACTCTCAACGAAAATGCGTCTGAAGACCCTGACACCTGCAGAGAGGTGGAACTTACCTGGCACGTGGCCATGGCACAAGATGCCGCTTCAGTTGAAGGTTGAGTAGGGAATGAAGAAGAGAGAGACGCCAAGGACACGTGGCATTGAAGATGTTACCGAACGTCCGATCGTGCAATTCTATCTCTGGACGAAGGGTTTGAAGGGCAATGACATCGTGTGTCGAATTGTGGGGGCAGATTAGCAATTTGCAGTTCTGACGCTTGGACAGTTGGATGTTGATCAACTGATATTGAGTGTCGAATTGTGGGGGCAGATCAGCAATTTGGAGCTCTGATGCTTTGCACAGCTGGATGATGATTAACTGGCAGAAGGTAAGCAGGGACTGCTGTGCTCGAAGTGTGGGGGCAGATCAGCAATTTCGAGTGCTATGCGATTGCTATTCAGAGAGTGGTGAGAGCAGAGCTGCAGAGGTGGATGCTAATTAAGTGACCGAAGCTGAGTAAGGATAGATTGCAGTGCTGGGGTATGGGGGTGTGGAAGGAACATGGGGGTCTGGGGCATGGGGGTCTGGGGCATGGGGGTTCAGAGGGTTCTCTGACACCTGCAGAGGTGGATGATGATCAACTGGTCGAACGTGAGTGAGGAGGGGCTGCAGTGCTACGTGATGGCCTTCCTGCCGTTGTTGATTATTAAAAATTAGTTGAAGGCTCACAGGGTTCTGTTTCATGTTGCTTGGGGAATTAGGAGATGACAGCGGTGTTACTCTTTTCCTTCACACGACAAGTTTTTGTCGATCTGAGACGTACACAACCACGGATATCTGCTTGACCTTTTTCAGTTTTTCCCTTCATTCGATGCCATTAGCAGAAAGAACAGAAAAAAACTGTAAGAGTGTAGACTTCACCTCTCTATCCCTTCCATGCAGGGCTTGCAGTTGCCTTCTCCTCTCTCTCTCTCTCTCTCTCTCTCTCTCTCTCTCTCTCCTTGTTGTGCTGCGGCTGATGTTGTGGCTCTTTCTCCTGCTCTTCCTCCTCTGCCTTCTCCTGCCTTTTTTATATTTTAACGGGGGCCTCCTGCTGATGTTGTGGCGCTTTCTCATGCTCCTTCTCGTCTGCCTTCTCCTGCCATTTTTATATTTTAACGGGGGCTAGACCTTGTGTAATCAGGACTTGAACTTGTGATCAGTGTCTATCAATAATTAGACTTGTCTACTATTCGCTCACAAGGTAGGTGTAAAGTTCTCCTGCTTCTGCTGATCTCCATGCCCCCCCACCCCCCACCCCACCCCCTCTGTTTCCTGTGACCTGCTCCTCTTCTTTGTCTTCCTCCTCCTCCCGCTCCTGCTGCTCTTGCTCCTCTTCTGCCGTCTACCCTTGCTGCCACTTCTCTGTCATTGCTGCTCCTTCTGAGCGTATATGACATGTCGTCTGCTATAGTCTAGTTTCTGTTTCTAAGGCCACCAGCTCTTCGGGGACTCTTTTCTTTCTTTCCTTTTTCTTCTTCTTTTCTTCTTCTTTTTTTTTTTTTTTTTTTTTTTTTTTTTTTTTTTTCTTTTTTTTTTTTTCTTTTCTTTTTTTTTGTTATTAAGAAAAGAACTCTTCCGGGACTGTTTCTAAGGTTTGCCTGTCCCTTGAGACATAGGAGATCACACGTCGAATGATTCGTGGAGAAGATTAGCATGGTCCCTGTGCAAAGAAGGCGACAAACAAATTCAGAAATGGTTAATAAGCCTGCTCCACAAATTCTGTGAAATTTGTCTCCGAGAGTGATTCTGACAGTTTGCCGCTGCTCTTGCTCCACTGCTTTTGTCTGCTATTGCTGCCACTGCTGCCGTCGCTGCTGCTCCTTGTGAGATTCCGAGAGATCCGCCATAAAGCAGATTTGAAATGTGTGTTCCGTCTGTAATGTATTTTGAAAGGCTTTCGAGTGACGACAGGCACTCGCTCTGACGCTGGCAGTGTCTTTCTCTGAAGTCTATTCTGAAACAACGGAGGCCGGTGAATTTTCACAAAAATTACAAGCGATACGTTTGATTCAAATGGAATCCAAATTTGACAAAGAAAGAATCCATGTGTTGCCATATACGTAGTGTGCACGTGTTGTGGTTAATTTCTGTGGAGATCTCAAAGCATTCAACACTTGCTGGAGAGACATTTCCAGTTTATGCGATGGATGATGATGTTATTGTCCTGCATCTCTGGAGGATAATGACCCTGCTCTTTACTAATCATTTGCATAATCACAAGGTATGACATTCGAATTTGGAAGTTCAGGGTGATTATTGTCATGGAGAGAGGAGAGCGAGTCGAACAAGAGATGGCGATCTTCTTTGCGTTGTGAATTTGCGCTAGCTGGACACCAGTTTGACATGAATTTGTAAGCTGTCCTTGCGTGTGTATGTGTGTGTGCGTGTGTGTGTGTGTGTGTGTGTGTGTGTTTGTGTTGCTTGTGGTGGAGCCGGACTGTTTTGTCACCAACTCATCAGGGGTGTGTGTGTGTCTGCACGCGCGCGCGCAAGAGAGAGAGAGAGAGAGAGAGAGAGAGAGAGAGAGAGAGAGAGAGAGAGAGAGAGAGAGAGAGATGTCACTTTCAGTCGCCGATCCCTTGTTACTCCTCATTATCCTTTCTGCTTTTCCTGCTTGTCTCCTTCTCCTCCTCCACCTCTTGCTGCAACTTCGCCTGTCAAGCTAATGGTCGTTTGCTCGTTCTTGGCTTTCTTTTGCTCCTCCCTCTGCTCCTCCTCCCCATCCATTTGCCTCCATCGCTGTTGCCGCTGGTGCTGCCACCATTACTGTCCCTGCTGACTCAAATGTTATTGCATTAGAGGAGTCAGGAATTTGAGGATTCACCAGTGGAATACAAAACACCTGAAAAGTGTTTCCTCAATTGGTGTTTCCCTTGTAAACTCTGAGTCTTCATGCCATTGCTAACAGCTCAGCTTGGCGTTCCATGCAAAGACAGTGTGCTTATCAGAGGATGGAATTGCCTCCAAGAAATCAAATTGTTGTGGTTCGTTTTCTTTCCATTCTCGTTCTTTATTTTTTTTGACAACGAGTCCTCCCCGTTCCAAATTCGCTTGCGCAATAGGCATAGTCTTGGACTTGTCCTCTCTCGGAACTTACTTTGCTAGTGGTGGGCCTTCGCGCATGGAATCTGTGTACTACGATGCGATGCTGGCGTAACACAGTCTACAATGTGAGCTATACGGTGTATAAGCATGTGGGTAAGGTGCTCAGGGGGAGTACCACTGGAGCTAGTCCAGTGATATGTGCAATAGGTGGGGCCAGAATGTCGGCTAGGTATAGTGTTTCTTGGCCCAAGTGAAGTACTGTGTACAATTAAACTATGTGGTCAGGGTACACAACACTATGTAAGGTATCTGCAGTACAATGTGGCTTAGGTGGGGTATGCTGCGGTATTGTGCGTGCTTGTTGCGTCACTTTGCAAGGTAGGTGCACTACCCATTGTCGAGCGCATCAGTCCTACAGGGGGACCCTCCTGGCCATGTTACTCAGGATTTTGCAGGACTTCGTTATAGACCGTTGTCGTTTTGGTCGAGTGCGCCAGCCATACCTCTTGCGAACCCCTTTGTCAGGAAAGGGCCACGCGAGGTACAACTTACCTCCACCTGTAGGAGATATCATCATCCTTTGGGTGGGCGTATCCCCGCCGAGTTACCAAACCACATGCGAAGGCTTTCCGTATGCAATCGCAGAGGTGGCCCAGCTGAGGGCGTTGCTCGTTCGTTGTAGCATAGGGGGTAGGTGCGGTTAATGCCCGAATCGAACCCGCGTGCGAATCGCCGTCCGAGGCACTGGTCTTTCGAGTTCGACCCTACGTTGGTCTACTAGGAAGGCCATTCTAACCACGCGATACACTTTTCTATGAAAAGTTGTTCTTACTTGCAGTATTATGCCTAACCCTTTTTTTTGCCTCATCCCATTTTTCTTGGATTGAAATGCACGAACGTCATATTCAAGACTTCGCATAAAATAGGACATTGCCTCACGAGTCTCCTTCATAATAACCAGCCATGCACAAGTACATGAGCAGTTGCGATGATGGAGTACTATGTGGTGCCCATAAAGGTGCAATCCCATTTTAGTCATGGGGTCGCTTTCGATGCTCAGGCGTCGGTTGACGCACACGCTAAGAGGGACCTTTAGCGAGCACAAAGGCGGTATGAGCGCCTTGCCATCTTCTGCACCCGGCGGTACCCCAAAGGGTGTAGGTTAAGATGGTGTCAAGGGCAGAAGAGAATTTGGAGTGGTGGTGAGTTGTTTGGCGCACCACCAGCAACTCGCTAACCCTTGTGCCTGCAACCTTATCGTTCCACCAAAGTAACTTTAAAATAAGGGAAAAATAAAATAAAAATATCGGATTCCCACAAATTAAGTTACTATCTCATTTTGCGAGCGTCTGTCCCATTACTTAACTCCGCGTGAGACCTTCAATAATAGTACTCGCTCGGAAACGTGTAGGAGGGAAGCCCAACCGAGAGTAGGCATAATATTTTGTTATGCAAACCCTCGCGACTAATTGTCACAATGATGCTTCATGCATTACCCTACAATCGCTCGACACTATACGGTGATCACGACACTTAATTGTCAGAGATGAGGATGAAGGGAATCTGCTTCACGATATTTAAACGGCTAAAGGATAAGCCATTCAGTCCTCGCGGCGCTTCTGACCTTTAGGCATAGTGTCGCGATGGGCAGCGTGCATATGCTCAACGCATAGGGGAAACCCTTTTGTGTTGAGCTAAAACCTGAAATTTCTTGAAAAAGGCCCTCGAATTTCGGTTCTGGACCAACGTTCGACCAAATTAATTCAAGTAGCAAAGATGGGTGAGCACGTCATTGTGAAGCTAAACCGCTCACACTTCCTGTTAGTTGTCATAATTATGCAAAAACAAAAAGGGTTCAATTAGCCAAACAAAAAAACGTTGTCTATCATCAGACAATCACTCTCATGATATAATAGTGTGGCTTGTCCGTTTGCATTTATGCAGTACACATATAATCATCATAACTCAATCTGAATCTTTCATCCATACCTGCGATCACACAGTTTAAAACAACATCGTACACACTACGGGAGTCAACTCTACCATTTTTTTGCGCCTCATACCCTGCCTTGTGCACACAAGTCCCAATCACCTTTTCACCACCCACACAATAAAGGTACTCAGTTTTTTTAAAGAAAGGTCATTCAGAAAGAAGTCTGGGTGAAATTATTAAGAAAACATATTAAAAAAAACACAATGACTAAGGCCTTAGGTTGAGATGCAGAAGCAGGTGAGTTGTGTCACAACCAACCTGTTATCAAGGGATAAGAGAAGAATGATCCTTCATGGGATCAGGCCGAACGAATCGAACCTTTAATTGAATTCGTAGATCTGCATCACAGTTCAGGCCAAAGGGGATCAAATACTACGTTCAAGGTAGATAAAGGACAAACATCATTCCATAGCCTGACACTCTTACTAATGTTTACGTTATCTCCCTCATAAGTCATCGAGAACTTTGACATCACCTCACCAAAGTTTAAGTCCCTCATAAGTCATCGAGAACTTTGACATCACGTCACCAAAGTTTTATTAGCAGAAAATAATCTAACTCTTCAAATTTCATAAAATTTTGGTCGTGCTACCCGTAGGAAAAATCTCTTTCCATAATTTTTATGACCCAAAAAATGACTAATTTTTTTTAGGTTTGTAAAAACTTTGGCAGCGCTTCACATAGGAAAAGGAGACTGCCAAGATTCATACAAAGCTGAAAATATAAGAACAAAGTGCAACTATATTGAGATTAACTGTCAGACACTTTATCTAGCAGTTAGAACTAGTGATAGTCTACAAGATCCTTTTTTTTTAAGATGAGATCGTGAGCTAACACTAATGCTAACTTCTACTAAGGTCAGATCTACCTTATCCGAAGCTTCCCTCCCCATTATCCATTCTAGTCTATCCATGGCTCCGACGCTTGACGAGCATCTAAGCAACTAAGGCTATCAAGAGATGCCCAAAATCAAGTGCCCCTCAATCAAACATGCATAATCAATATTTTTCTCTCAATTCCACATTAGCTTTAGCCAAGTAGTTCGTTAATCTCTCAATTTTTTAAACCCTCAGTAAAGTCCCCTTTCCTATGGCATAGGACGAGACCGCCCCAACTTAGCGGTACGCCCGACCTGCCTAAATAAGTGAATAGGGTACGCATAACTAGA